TATATATATATACATATATATAGTCACTGCCACCCCAACAAAATTCTGAGTTCATATGCATTTCTTGCCAGAAGGAGACAACCATCAAACAAACGGGCAGCACTGGTCATATTAGAAAGGTAATAATGCTTTAAAAAGTGTCACGGGATGTCACTGTGTTGACTCATTCAACCATATGTGCAGAAAAGGATTGTACAAAGGATTTTTTAAACAAAAGAGACAAATGAGGATACATTTATGCTATGACTTCAAAAAAGGAGAATAAGAAACTGAAACAAGAAAACTACAAAATATTAGTATGCAATATTTTATATTTACCTTAATAGAAAAAAATATATAATTTTCTTAATAGAAAAAAAAATACCTTAAAGAAAAAAAATGTGTATGAACATTGTATTTTTTGTCCTGACCATAAGAAAGAAAGAATGATAAAAGAGATTACATATAAGTAAAGAAAAAATGAATTAAGGGAAGAAGTGAATATGCAAATGTGTGCTTTTTCCTAAAACCCTTTGATTTAAAAGTCATTCTTCCACACTAGGAGGCATATTTATAAGACATTGAGTGTGACTTTCATTAAACATTCACTGGTGATCAATCAATCACTGTCATTAGATTCACTGCTGTAAAATGTTGCCATATATATATAGCATTTTATTAACTATTTTTTATCCTCTACTGCGCTACTGTTATGAAAAAAAGCTAAGTTATTGATATTGCATGTGTAAAAAGAGCAAATCTTCTTGTTTTCAGCATCAACGTGCACACCAGGATCCTGTTGCCCTGAAATTCAGCTTCTATGAGGTCATTAGAGCTGACAGCTTGTCATCTTTAGAATTACGGTCACTCCAGAAGAAGTGCCTAATGCCAGGGTGGTATTCTGCACATATAGAGAGATGGCTTGACCATTTTCCACCTGCTCAGGTACTATTTAAGTCATTGACTAATCCTTTATGTTGTTTTACACATAACAGTCTATGGCTTTGCAATAAAATACAGATAAAGAACCATTTTTGACTTTGATTAAAGGGAGTTCAATTATCATTTATCTCTATTACAGTAAAACTTTGTAGATGTAATTGTATGCTTAGTCAGAAGGCAGGAGCAAAACAGTCTGCTTTTTCAGCAAAACTTTGCCTTTAGGCAAATTATATCGGAGTAAATGACAAAGGTTAAATGTTTTGTTTTTTTTTGGGTTTATAAGGACTTTAAATGGCTCTTGTATGGTTTCCTTTTGTGTCGTGAGTGTATTTTCACTTTTTAGTGTATTTTGTTGTTTTTGAGTTTTCTATACAACAAAATTTTTTTTAGTATTTTATTGTTATTTGATTATGTTTTACATGTTTCAATAAAATATACAGCAAAATGCACTGCATGGGTTGATTACCCATTTTTGTCTATTCTGTCTTGTCCCTCACTCCGGCAGGCTTCAGCCAAGCTACAGAAGTGGCCCCTAATGCCTCTTCTCTTTGCTGCTCCGACGTCATTACATACAATGCAGGACCTTATCAGTCTTATATTGTAAGTGAGGACGCAAAGGGCCCATCCACAACCTGGAGTATCAAAGAGCTTAAAAGAGCATTGGCTCCAGGGGAGCAAGGGGTAAGGATAGTAAAACTGCTCTTTATGTTCCCCCTCAACAAAAACAAGTATATAACTCTTACAATCCTATTGGGTAACCTATACAATGCAGACCTATTTTGTAAAAAAAAAAAACATACGAAAAGTGAAAAAACACAAGGAAAATGCACTAATACAAAATACTTATGAATGAGTATACATCACATTCATTCAAATATAAGAAAGTGAGGAAATTGTTGAGTCAACAGTGTAATCACTGTTGACAGTCAGCAGAGTGCAATGCATGAACTTTATTTACTAACACAAAGTCAACTTACTAGTGAAGGAGCCAGCACAATAAAAGGCTTCTAAAAGACATTGCCTACATGGCAAAGGTTTCTCAGAAAGCAGTGTGTATTACAGATGCTTTTTTGTACAATAGAAGATTATTGTCCTAAAGTGACAAGTACTGACATCTAAATGGTAAAACCCTGTCAGACGGTGATCAGGGGTTTTTTTTTTAAACTCACACACTTATCATTGGGAGCTTTAGATTGTGAGCCTTTTTTTTTTTCTAATCGCCCCTTGTCGGGGAAATTAGAGGTCAAAATTCTAATCATGTTTCTGTAGACATTAATGGTGTTTTCACAATGGCATTAAATGGAATCTTCTTAAAGTAGCAGTCCCCTGTCTGGCATGCTCATCCGATGGTTTTGGTAATTTCAAAATCACTGAACAAATATTGAAATTAGAACTTCTCTGACTTTCCTGACCCACATGCCTATTCCTGGACAGTGTCTCAAAGTAATGAAGCCAGCAGGCAACTAGTATTCTCAGGGGGAGTTTAGCAATTGCAATATGACATGCCTGTCTGCCTGGATAAAATCACTACATTTCTTAAGCATTTTGGTGGGGAGATACCATAATAATATGACTGGCCAGAGAATTAAAATATGTGCACACACTGGCGCTCAACCCAAACACCCACGGTGGCAGAGTGGTTGACACGGGTGGACCATCTGCGTTTGATGGAAGAACTCCATCACTCTAGTAAGGACACATATAGCACTTTTTACACGACTTGGGCGGGATGGCTGCACTTTAAAACTCAGGACGAATATGTCTCAATGTTATCCGCGTGATATGGTCTGCTTTAAAACCTGTTATTCTATTTTATTTAATTAAATTTTTTTTATTAGTAACTCTGTAAAACTGGCGATTGTATTTTACCCTAATACACTATGCTTCCGGTAAAATGATTGCCAAGTTCCATTGAGGGGCTCCATCACTGTATTGTTATGCACTGTTTTGCCACATGCTTGAATGCGCATATTGCGCCCCGACCAGGGGACCAACCACCCTCCCCCCTGTACCCCTACGTCTCTTGTCCCCCCTTTTACCTTGGATATCGTATGTAATGTGATTGTCTTAATGTATGCTTAATGTATTGTATGTGTGTTTTTTGTTATATTTTGAAAATCTTTAATAAACATTTAATATGAAAAAATAAAAAAATAAAAAAAAATAAAATATGTGTACCACAATGAACTCGGACTTTGAACCTTTAATATTCTTAATTTATTAAAGTTGTACATTCATTAAGAAATACACTACCCAAGCCCTCCTAAATGTATCTACACTAAAAATCCCACCCCAACTGTGTGGCCCAATACGTTTCCTCTCTGGGCTAAAATTCTCCTCATTAATGTCCACACCTGTCCACTGAGCAATCATAGACGTAAAAAGGGCTGCATTCCTAGTGACTTCAGTCTCCGAATACAAGTCTTTGAGGGTTCTCTGCACAGGTAAGACTAGTGGTGAAGAGGATTTCTGCCCAGAGAGAAAAGAAAAAGTACTGGTATTGGCTAGTTTAGTCCTTTTTAATTCTACGCCTGTTCTAAGTCAATATTGATCACTTTATGAACATTGCAGATCTAAAATGTATTACAACGTAGTACAAATTAGCATGGGAAATGTCCAAGCATGTCCAGAATGATATGTTAATTATCAGTCTTTCTGTTTATTTAAAGCAAAGTGTAAAGTAAATAAAGATAGCATAAAACAAAATAATTCACTCCTCATTGAAGTTAAGTGACTATAATTTACCAAATGGGCCAAAATGTGATTGGAAAAGTAAGTGAGCTGTTGTTGGGAAAAAGGATACCATTTCAGTTTCTAGTTGCAATTTTCTTTAGGGCAGTACATTGTTGTTCTGTATATACTTAGAGCTGACAGTAAAGCATGTTTAATTGACATGAATATAAGACCTAGGCCCCTGTACAGATATAATTTCATGAAAACAAATTGGGCATTATTAGTAACATTGAGTATTTTGCATTGTGAATCCTTCTAGTTTTATCTGTTATCATTATAACAAAAGATATGATTACATAATACTATTTTAAAATACCTATTTATTTTACTATATTAATTGGAAGATACATATGTGCATGTTTTTATGCTGTCAAACAGTTCTATTTTTGTGCCATGATTATGACTGCATAGCTGCAATGTTCTAAAACCCCTGTTGTGTGTCATCTTAATTAACGCAGTCTATAGCGAATAGCAAAGATAGTAATATTACTTGTGGAGAATTCTATATTTTCTCCAGATGTTGTCATTCTCGTCTATAACAATATCTTTTCTTGCTTTGAAAATCAGTAAATATGAAATGCTCAAATAAGCAACGTGTCTTCCATTACTAAGAAATGTATAGAGATTTCACAATAATAAGGCAAAAAGCATAAAAATATCTAGTACTTGTCAGAAGGATGTCAGAACCAGCGCTGGGAGGCAATATATCATCCTCATTGTTAGACACTTCTAGGGGACAGATGGTAAAGTCAACAAGACAGTTCTATCCTGTGCTGGCATATCTGTCTAATCACTTAGGTGATACTTTCATGCAAGTCGCACCAGGCTGCTATCACCTCCAAAAATCGAAAAATATTCCAGAAAAATTGCTAAACATTGCTTGTATACATCTGTAAACTGCAAGCTTGACAACTGTTTGATATTCTCACAATATGTGTTTGGAGCTCAGTGTAAGTATAACAGCAAGGTGACTAGATCTGTGATTTAAGGCTGCTAAACTTAAAATGAAAATTCTACCTTATGTGAAAGCTGTAAAACGTACTTAAAGCCTGTTTATAAACACTTTACATTTATCTAAGTTTCTGAGGTTGTTTTATTGCTTTATTTGAATGCTATTTTGTCAAACGCTGGCACCAAAGTGACAGCTGGTGTTTTTTTTTTAATTCCTCAGGATTTTTAAATAGGGAGTCAGCTGAGTTTGAAAATATCGCTGCTAGCTACACCGCCTTTGCTTTATATACACTTGGTTCTGATAATATAAATATAAATATACTATATACATTTGCATATTTGCTCTTTTTTTTTACTTTAGTTTTAAGTAGGGATGCACCGATACCAATATTCGTATCGGTAATGGTGCCGGTACTGAGTATTTGGTTATTCATACTCGCCCAAATGTTCCTGATGTCTATCCCGATACCAAAACGTTTGATATCAGGAAGTTGGGCGGGAAATCATTACACGCTGCTCGACTTCCTGATGGGCCAGAAAGCCAACTCCATGCTCCCTCGTCACCAGGGAGCATGGAGCTGGCTTCCCAGTCATTTAAGAAGCTGGGGGGTGGGTAATGACTCACCGCCAAGCTTTCTGATTGGTCGGGAAGCTGGCCAATCAGGAAGCCAGGCGGTGAGTCATTACCTGCCCCCCCCCCGGCTTTCTGATTGTCCAAAAAGCTGGGTCCATGCTTCCTCGTCACCAGGTGGTAAGGAAGCTGGGGCGGCATGTAATGACTCACGGCCCAGCCTCATGATTACCCGGAATCTGGGCGGCATGTAATAACTCGGTGAGTCATTACACACTGCCGGCTTCCTTAATGGGACTTCTGGTATCGGTATTTGGTATCGACGAGTACTGAAAAAAAAATATCGGTTCTCGATACAGAAAAACCGGTATTGGTGCATCCCTAGTTTTAAGGCATGTCAACTGTCAAGGTTGCCAGTGTGCTTATTTCAGCTCTCAACCAAACTTTCAAACCCTCAAATGCCTGGTGTCATAATTGATCACATGTGCATCACCATGCCAACTGCAACCCAAACAGAGGCTACAATGGCACCGTCCTTGGCTGTAAGGCAGGGATGGGCAACTCCGGCTCTCCAGCTGTGCTATAATTATGAATCACATCATGCTTCTGCCTCTGGGAGTCATGTCTGGAATTGTCAGTCTTGCAATGCCTCATGGGACTTCTAGTTTCACAGCAGCTGAAGGACCGAAGTTTCCCACCCCTGCTGTAAGGGATAGAAGGTTCTAATTTGCTTTTCTATTTGACAAAAAAATAGCTTTTTGTAATTCACTTTTAATAGACTTTAAAGCCAAACTTCATGCAGATATAAAAGACACTAGTTAATCATGCTCTGTATTAATCGATACATTTATAGATCCAAGCAGTGTAAGTACCTGAGATTGACTTTGTATCAACAACTGACACCCACTGTACAGCAGAGCTCAAAATGGGGAGGGAAAAGCAGCATGTGGAGCCAATCAGTTGTGCTGCAGTGCAAGGGGCTTGCTGATAGGAAAAACGAGCAGAGTGACAGGGATAAGCTTACCAGTGTCCTGCTTCTCCTTCACTGTACAATTACATGCTGTGGGTGGGAAGGAGTTGCTAAACGGCAGCAAAGAAAATAAAGTATCCTTCCCTGTCAGAGGTGTGTGCTGCTGCAGAGCTGTGCAAATGTAATGGCTAAATGGATAAAAACAGAAATCCTTTGCCAGGTAAAACAAGTCCCATATACATTATTTGTTTATTACGGGTATTTATATAAGAACGACAATTTACGAAGCGCTTTACATAGTGCACATTTACATCAGTCCCTGCCCATGAGGAGCTTACAATGTGAGGTCCCTATCTCACATACATACATATAGGGCCAATTTAGAAAGGAGCCAATTTACCTTCTAGCATGTGTTTGGATTGTGGGAGGAAACAGGAATACCCGGAGGTAACGCACACAAGCACAGGGAGAACATGCAAACTCCTTGCAGATAGTGACCTGACTGGGATTCGAACCAGGAATACATACTGCAAAGCAGTATGTACCCCATCTGTGTATATAATTGTTTGGCTGGAGTTTAGCTTTAGAGAAACCTGTACTGAGAGAGATATGAAGAAATATGGAGACTAACTGGTGACCTTCTTCTGAAAATGTTGCACTGCATACTAGTTCCAGGTAAGTGGCTCCGAAAGTACTGAAGCCACAGGATCCACATAGCACTTAGCATTTTAAAAAGGAAAATTCAGAAATAAAAGCCTACATATTTTCTCTGTATAGGTTTTCATTACATATTTTTAGAAATCCCAGCTGATGATCTTCGTCAATGAAAAGAAAACATACCTTATTTAATATATAATTGATAAGAAGAACCCTGCACGTACGCAGAGTTTTCGATGAGCCAAGCAAAATAGACCCCTTCCTGGTTGTAGCTGCAGTAAGGACAGCAACTGAGCAAGTAGGCAGGGCATTCCGTCTTGGTTATACACATAATGGAGTTGATATGCTAAATGCTTATAGAATGTTCATTTAGTATAGTGAATATTCACTGTGAATAAGGTGAAGCTGCGTGGAATGGGATTAAATAATTGGATTGGATGCGCCTTTACCTTATATGCTAAGCTAACATTCACTATACAAAATGAAATTTCTGCACAAATGAGGAGATAAAAGGGATATCTACAGATACATAGTAAGCCAGTTAAGTTACTGTTTAATAGACTGAATATTGTTACTAATGTAGTAATCCATAAATCTACATGGTTGTTTTATAGTTGCTTATTGTGGATGGACAGCAATTACGAACAGACCCAGCTAATGTGATGGATGAAGTTCAGAAGTTCCTAGGTGTTTCTCCTCATTACAACTATTCAGAAGCACTAACGTAAGTATATTTCAAGGCAGGTAACAGCGCCTCTAAGACACTACTAGCAACATCTATTGTGTTCACAGAAACAGATTAAAAATATAACCCCATTTATCTATTATTTTTAGGATCTAAGTCACTTTGCATCTTTAAAGAATAACTCCTGGCATACATGTTATTAACACTTACAGTGAGCTACCCCCGCACTGCAAGGATTAACTGCTCATTTTTGCCTTGTGTAAAAAAAAAAAAAGTTATACTCACCCAATCTTGGGAGCCAAAAGCACTCCCGCCAGCCCTCTCCACTTCCGCTGCAGTGATGGAATGTCCCTCAGTGTCCCCATATCCTATATATTGTATTGGATATGATGACTCGAAGATTTCGAGACTGCTGCAGCGAAGGGGGAGAGACGCTCCAGGGACTGATCAAAGAGCCGGCCCCTCAGAGGATTGGGTGAGGATAACTTTTTTTTTGCCTATGCAAAAACAAGCACTTAACCCTTGCAGTGCTGGGGTAGCTCCATTGCAAAGGTGAATAACATTTCTGCCCGGAGTTCTTCTTCAAAGAGGATGCTAATGGTCAGCTGACAGTATGTATACCGGGACCCCATTTTGATCTAATTATGTTTTTATTTTAGGTTTGATTCACATAAAGGTTTTTGGTGTCAGCTATTGGAGGAGGGGAAAACAAAGTGTCTGGGAAAAAGCAAGGGCAGGAAATATAAATGTACATTTGTAGAAAATATATATTCAGTAAGTGTCAGAACAGTATTTTTTTTCCATTAACCAGAAATCTAAAGTCTATGTCAAGCTAAACACTTTTTAACTTGTTTTTTGGGATAGAAAGGGGTTGGACTAGAAGGCAAAAATGGTATCTGAGGCTCGGTTGAAGAGATTTCTTCTGACTTCCTGTCCACCATTTTTCCAGACACAAATTAAGGGAAAATCTGCAACAGGGGCAGAGATGAAAACACTTTTCTTTAGTAGAAAGGGCAACATGACAGATAGGAAAATAGCATTTGCAAAATAAGAAGTAGCAAAGACAGTTTCCGTATCCCTCTCAGGAAAGGTTTCTTTTTACTAAAAAAGCCTCTGTTTTTTTAGGACTGGGTGTTTTATCCGTTCCTGAAATAACTCCTTTTTCTGCTTTCCTCAGTTGATGCTGTATATGGCCTCACAGCCAGACAGAAGCTAGTTCCAACAGTGACAACACACATTTAAGGTATCTATAGGGGAGCAGCACTGAGGGGGGTGGTGTTCCGTAGGTGAAGACTGAATAGCAATAAAGGCAAACTAGTGCTAGGGACCTAACGTGAAGTAAGAAACAGTGATTTAGCCTACGAGTGGGTGCTCATAACTAGAGGGAATCCTGAAATTTGGACATCTTAAATTCAGATGTCCTAAGCCCAATATGAATTTCAGTGTTATTTTTGGTAATTCTGCTTCTCAAAATGCTTTTGGGAGAAAGGGACTAGAAGATGCTTTTGCCTTAAATCTGCTTCAGTTATTGCTTGAGCACTCATAGGTTGACAGCCACTGCCATCAGATCTGTTTTATCTTCTATCCCTGGTATAATTTTTCTATGGAGTTTTTGGCCCCATTATTTTGTCAGGAAGGACTACCAGGAGCAGGGATGAGCTCGGGGTCAGACTGAACCTGGTCCAAACCTGAGCTCCTCTGATAAAGGAAGTGCCATGGCACTTCCACCTAATCAGATGTGGGACGGGCATTCTCCGCCACACAGCTGCATGTAAACAAAGGGTGGAATGCTTGTGCTGATGTCATGTACCTTATATGGCCACATGGCCATATTAGGTAATTGCCATTTACCAAACATAGGCATGTAGCCATAAAAGGTCAATTAAATAATCGTATACTGCCCCTTCGCTTGTGTCAAATTGTGGGTGGGGAATGCCCCACCCACAGTTCATTGGACAACATGGAAAAAGCTTCCTTCTGTGTTCACGAGGAGCTCCTTGAAGAAGCTCTGGTTCCAACTGAGTTTGGTCAGAAGCTTCCCAAACTGTTCTGTCCATTTAAAAATTCTGAACTTTGGAGGTTTGTAAATTTATAAAAAGTTCAGCTGAACCACAACTGATCAAACTTTTCAAAAATTTGCTGATCTCTACTTATAACTGTAATATTAGTTTTTCTAAGTCACTGACCCAGAACAAGTATGCATACCAAGAAACTAAGAGAAAAGTCAGATACTGTATCTTTATTTGCATATTTGTTCTGTGGCTCAAAGTAATGACATAAAATGGTATCGTGATAACCAGAAAAAATTGTATTTACAGAATGAAAAGTTAGTTATTGTGGCCTTCATGTTTCTTTTAGGAAAGGTTTTCTTTAACAACACAAATTATTAATAATAAAATACTTTTAATATTTAATTGTCTAACTTACCTTAGCTTACCCCTTTCACCTCAATATAAAACAAGTTATTATTTTAAATTTACTGAAGTTTATGCTGAAGAGTATACTTCTGCTCATCATTAAAACTTTCTGGAATGTAAAATCCCAAGCTAAGCATACAAATCAACAGCAGCAATCTATCATAGCAATACAAAAGCGTAATGAGTAAACATAATTTAATCTGCTGTCAGCAAGTATGATTCTCGCAGCCTATGCGAGTCTTGTAGACAGGTTTAAACAAAAACATTCACAGAAAAAATATAAACTTTCCACAGACGCAGCAGTGTCTGGTGATATATCAACAAAGACAAATGTTTGAAAGATTTTTTTTTTCCTAATACATCACATTGGTAGAGGCGTGCTGTAAATTTGACGGTAAGAGCCAGAAGCTGTATAGTTAACACTTGAAATTGAAATTCTCTGTTGTATTTTCACCTTATCTATCATTTCAAAAGTGGTGGTAGCAACCATTAACACAAGATCATCACCACACATTGCATTCAGGTTTATATACTAGAAGCACTGCAAGTGAAACATAACTTAAAAAAGTGAACTAACGAGTGCAAATTGGATCTTGTTGGAAATGATGTTTTTTACAGACATGAAAGGAAACCTAAGAAAGAAAACACCGGGCGCCTGACCTGGTGCAATAATCCTTTTTATTGGTAAAGATAATATTAAAACACTCACAAATATACTCACAAATGGAGCACGACAAATGTCAAATTGGACTGATAGTCCTCACTGGATGAACTGCTGTGGGGATGGATGAAAAGTCCAGGAACTCTGCTAAAAGCAGAGTCACGCTTCTTCTAGCTTAACGCGTTTTCGGGGAACTTCCCCTTTTTCAGACCTTTTAACCCTTTGGACCACAGGAGGGCTCTTTTGGTTGTGTATATTTGGCGCTAGTCGTGTCATTTTTTTGGCCCATGAAAAGAAACCTGTCTTAGAGAAAATGCATAGGTTACCTTGCTGATCACCTTCAGAGAACACTAGTTTCTTGGTTGTCCTACTGATACTCCAGCTTTAATACTTTGTTAGTCACTGACCAGGCAACCAGGCAACTAGTATTTTCAGAAGAAGGTCGGCAATTGAAGCTTGTGTATACACTTCCTGAAAAAAAATTATGTGTTGCTTAGAAGGTCCCATAGATCGTAAATGTTGTCTGCATAGGAGTGCAGAATTTCTAGTTTACTGTTTTATATCTTTCTTTACATTTTTTGTTACATAAATATTACTCAAATATTAAGTGCCTGCTGTTCCATAATAGATTTTTTGCAGTGGGCAATATTTTTCAAGCGCAATAATACAATGAAACACAATGAAAAGGGCCTTAACTATGCGTGCTGGTACCTCATATCAAGCTCACTAAGTGGCTGCCCTGTCCCTTTCATTTCTATCTTGAAGGCAATTCCTATGATGATATATAATACTAATTGTTGTTATCGTAATCATACAGTGGTTTCCAAACTCTTTATACATTAATTTTAAGTGTCTTTGCCAAAATGCTATTGCTACATATACAGATCAGTGTGTAGCTAGACAGGTCAGGGCCCCCTGTGCTTTTGGGCCCCATAACAGTAGCAGTTAAAGTTGAACTTCAGGCAGATATGCAGTAAAAGACACAAAGTCTGCAATGAAAATATTTATGACTATGCCATTGCTTTTAGCGCAGAAACATGTGATAATACAACAAACTGCTTCTTGTCCAATTCATTTTTGAGTGGACCGCATATTAGGCTTATAACATCCTGCCATACTTTACTTAATTAGCAAGGAATAGGAGAACTTTCCAAGCAGCATGGTGTTACAGTAATTGTCTTGTTTCGTGTTATTTTCTCAGTGGGTGTCGGAAATTGAGACATTTCTATAATTGAAACTGTATGTTATATATAATTCTGTCATGCCAATTACCTGCCTTAAAAAAAGCTTCAGGTAATCTCAGACAACTAAATTTTTAATGAAACACTTTCAGCTTAAAATCATGATAATACCAGTATTATTCACTTTATAGAAGTGAATGTTTTCCCCCCGCAGTATAAGATAAAGCTTTGCTAAATATCAGTATTTAAAGAGTTAATTTAGGACTTATGCACACAAGCACATGAGATCTATCATATTCCAGATATACAGAGGAGAATTTATCAAAACTGGAGCAGACAAAACCTGGAGCAGCTGTGCACGGCAACCAATCAGCATCTATTTTTAATTTAAAATCTTAACTGAACAAACTGAAGAGAGAAGCTGATTGGCTGCTATGCACAGCTGCTCGATATTTTGTCTGCTCCAGTTTTGATAAATTCCCTTAATTGTATTTTAGGTTGATTAAGGATGATTTATCAAAGGTGTTGAAACTCTTCACACAATAAATTGTGTGACTATTCAAGTCAATTATACGATCATGAGAAAAACAAATTGTTTACTTAATTCATCTACTCAAAATTAGCTAACTGAATGGAATATTCACAACATTTATTCTGTGAAAATTCTCAACTTCTTTAGCAAATTAGCCCAAATGTGTTAACATTGCCCATGGAGTTCATTGAGCCCTATGTCAGTATGGCTGCCCTGTCATATACACAAGAGCTGAAATTGTGATTTGTAATGTAAAGCAATGAAATGTATGAGGACATTTAGCATTAGCAACAACACACAGAGAAATGGGGTTTCTTTGAGAGGTATAACACCAACGTTTTGCATTAACGCAACCAGCATTAAAAGTGTATGTAAACTCATTAGAACTAGTTAGAGGCCAAGCGTTATATGAAAGAACATATCCCTGGCATCACTGTAGATGTGCATGGTCCTCCCTGCTGAGCACTGAGTGATGCAGACTTTAGCTGTGCAATCTGTAGATCAGCTGCTTGATTACACTCTATCTGACCTGGTTCTGAGATTGCAATAACCAGTGACTAGTAGGGAAGAACATGCACATCTATAGGGAAGCCAGACATGTGTTCTTTCATGTAATGCTTGGGCTCAGGGAAGAGAACGGTTTCTTCCGAGGGGAGAACTAGAGCATGCAAAGTGAAAGTGGCAGTGCTGAAGGTGGATGATCAGCTGGAACAGTTTTGCCACTCTGAATAAAGAAGTAGAGGCAAATGACAGGTTCAACCAGGTAGTTAGTATCTATGAATATATTAATGAAAGAAACGTTAATTTTGGGGGGGGGTTTCTGACACTTTAAAGATCCTGTTGTTGGTAATGAGGCACTTAAAGTTCTTATCTTTACTGCATTGCCTTGGTAAATAATACTTTCAATAGTTATATTGTATCTATATGGGTTATACGCTAACATGCCTAAAATATCAAAGATAAAAACTAATGGGGCTCCATTTTAAAACAGCAGCATGGCCTTACTGTGACCATCTCTTAAAAAAATCATGCAATCAAACACATGGCACATTTATAAATCACATTGATGTGCTTTACCGATGTGCTTAGTGCTATTAACCACTTGATGAACACGACATTTATAATTGTCATGGACTTTAACTGGTTAAAACAAGCTGCTGCAGCCATGAACTTGGTATAATTTTTCTTTAGTTGGCTCCCAGTTATCCAGAAAAAGTGATCTGGGTAGCTGCAGAAAAACCCAATCACGTTTACAGGCCTGTAAATGTGCACGCCCCTTCCCAATCACATCACTCACTGTGGCCCCCATGCTCTCTCACTGCTCTGGGGAGCCCGGGACCACGCTAAATGCATTTAGTATAGTGAGCAGGAGCAGATCAGGGAACATCCTTTCCCCAATCTACTGATCCAGAAGTGCTGTGCTCTCAAATTTCTGGCTGAACAACCACGGAGGACAGGGGAGACATTAGAGGTAATAGACCCCTGATGTCTCCATAAAGATAACTGTCCAACTTCCCATGTTCTTAGCCCCCTATGTGATAGCAGTAAAGTTAAGTGGAAAAGGTGTTTAACAAATATATATATAGCAAAATAAATAAAAATAACATAACAAAGAAGTCCTGCAGACGTCCTGCACACACATACGCATGCAATTAAGACTTGACATGTTTGGTGTCACAAGGTCATCTTTTATAATATACCAAAAAAGGGTATTGTTCATTTTAGCATATTTTTTCCTGAAAAACAACATATGTGCAACATAAAAAATTCCAACCTTATTCTACAGGGCCTCTGCTTTAAAATATATCATTTTGTGTTTATGTTTGGGGGATTTTAAGTCATTTTCTAGCAAAAATTGCTCAGGGCAGAAGAGGGTTTAAATTAGTGAGAGTGGAGAAAAAGAGGAAGAAGAGCCCGGTTACCAGCCTTTCATCTAATCATGGAGTTCTCTCTGGTGCATTGAGAATTTAATGTAAAACACCATTTAGCTAAAACAAAATGCATTGGGTATATGAAATATTTATATAGTATATTAACGATCTCTTGTTAAATCCATTTTAGTGCAGAGCCTTCCTGTCAAGTTATTATCGGGATCACAATGTGGAATTGTCCAAACTTTTACACAGACTTGGTCAACCTCTGCCTTCGTGGCTTAGACAAGAGCTGCAGAAAATCAGATAGCAGAGAATATTGGCATAATCTTTAAGAGGGACTTCCAGTAACTTGATGCAAGGACCACTTATTATAACCAGCTGTCAAAACTTTACCATTCATCTCTTTGAGAGGGCACCACCAGAAATGCTGTGTTCCATGTGCTGGCATGTGGATCTCATCAACACTCTCTTTTAGAACATATTGTCATTCCATGGCCTTGTACCTACAGCCTGTCATGGATCCTGTCATGATAAGAGACTGATGGCAGTGATTTATAAAAACTAAAGCAAAAAAGATTGGAGCCAAAGTGGTGCTATCGCTGAAAAAAACTTTAAAAAATTGAAACCTAATTGGTCATGGTGGACAACAGGTCCAGGCTTTAATTTTCCTTGCTTTTGTATCTATAAATCAGCCAAAAGGCTAGAGATTGGAAATAGTAAATATAATAAAATGTATAAATAAAATCAGTGGTAATGTCTTATTATTAAAGTATAAAGTCACTGGATAATCTGATTTTACAATAAATGTTTTTATGTTACCTACCAACATTGAGTATGTGTTTTTTTCAACTGGTCAACAGGCAATTACAATTGCCTGTCCACGAAAGCCAATTAAACTTTGTTTAATAAATGGAGCATTTTAGTATTGTTCAAGATGGTGGGTTATGGGGCACTGATATCCACTATCCAGAGTGTCTCTGTTGATGTAACTCTGTGAACCTTCTGTTTTTTATTGGAAATGTTTAAAGCTAAACTCCTGGCTAAATACACAGATAGAATACATATAGGAGAGCTCTTTTACCTGCCCAAAAAAATTATTTTTGTACATTTATTCCTGAGATTTACACAGCTTAGCCAGACAGCATAGCCAGTCTGGATACCTGACTTTTCTCTACAGCAGTTAAATAATACCATTAGATCTCAGCTGCCTCCTGCTTGTGAGTGGACAGAGAAAGCTAAGCAGCAGACTAGTTGGCTAATTTTTCTGTTATTCTGTTATTCTTTGTTAGTGCATAAGCAATGCAGCACAACATATTGGATAATTGTGCTGCTTCTGCTTCCCAGTTTGAACTCTGCTGCATAGAGATAAAGAGGCTGATATAAAGTCATCACATATTTACACTAGTCTCTTTTAAAATACAAAATCCCGTCTCAAGTCCTTTCCGCACCGCTATTGATTCGTTCCGAACTGCTAGCATCAGAAGTCACAGACTAGTTTCCGACTGTTTCAATCTCAGCTCTACAGGCAACCACACGCTGTTACAATGCTAAACTGTTAAACTGTTAACCTGTTAATTTGCTGGTTAGATGTTCTTGTACAACATAATATGATGATATGACTGCAGTGGCAAACATTGCACATGTTTTACCTACGCTACAAACCCATGACTGTCTCATTTCAATATCACTTCCATGGCGAAGTGATATGTAGCGTAATGGTATGTCTTTTATTATATATCACCTCTAACCATATTAATGCCTATATGATGACACTGTGGTAAACACTTTTATTTTGAATAAAATCAAAATACACTTACAAAAAAATGAAATACAAAATTATTGTTTAATGAACACAAAACTGCTTAGAGTTCAGCTTTTAAAGTGGATGGTTATCCTAGAGTTATTCTATGAACATTAAACAGCCATATAACACAGGTATTTTGATAAATGCATAACACCATGTTTGTCTTCTGTCCATGTTCTGGTTGTTCAGCAACCAGCATGGAAACTGGCAACCATTTACCAGTGACACCATATAGATTATGTAGTCGGTCAGCCCCCCTCATGCTATCTAGGTGTAGTGATTGGAAAGCTTGATTGAGAGGGGAGAGGTGCTAGGTGACTACATGAGTTGCATTGAATAATTATAAGGAAAACTTTCACTTTAAGTGTCCATTTTTATTTGAACAATTACATTAAAAAACTGAATTCTTGCTTAAAACACATGAATGGTTACTTTCTGGTTAACATTTGAACCATTTACTTACCAGTTTATTACTTATCCAATAATATATATATCAATTTATATCAACAAGTGACTCTTAATATGGATTCCGTGAGCTTGATACCAAATTATACCCATATTACCCTTGACTTGTTTGAGCAAAATGTAGCATTCTGTAATAATAAAATATCCTGTTATCTCATCAAACACAGCCTTTTGAAGTCTCTTATACTATTCATTAAAAAGACAGTCTGGTAGACCATCTAAATGCATCCTTAAAAACGCCACCCAAGGACTAAACCGCATAAAAATCATACGGCATTAGCTCATCCTGTGGATAATATGGGTAAGCTTATTCTGCAGTATCTTATAGCAGGGATTTTACAGAGGAATGAATTATTACTCAGGTAACCCTTGATCTGTGATTCACTTACTCTAACAAATCTGGTGGGAAGAAAGATTTATGTAAGTTAGTTTGCTGATGTAAAAATATATGTCCCTGCATTACCTATTATTTTTCTTTTACCTTTTTCATGTAGCAAGAAACAATGTTTATTACACCATGTAACATCATCACCAGGTTTGAAAAAAAAAAAATCGTGCAGGGGCAGCTACTGGGAGCTCAGTTTCTACTGGCATAGGAATTTCCCAAAACTGCATCTACTAAGATACCTTTTCTAACAAAGTGCATGGACAGGCTTTAATAGTTAAGGCAGCTCTGTTGCTTCACTGGAAAATAAATAAATGTAATCATGTGGCGTTGGACAACGATGGATGAAGGACAATAAAGTAATTTATTCCAGCAGGTAGGGCTGAGACCATTGGTTGGGATTTCAGCGCAGAAAAGGCACTGTGTTGTCAGCCCAAACATGAAGATCAGAACACATTTTTTCACAGCTCAATAGGTATTTCTTTTGTACTTGCAGCATTTTTAAAGGGAAAAAAACATGGTTAAATGTACATGTATTGCAGAGATGTTGTGAATGTTTTGAATTGTTTTAATTTTGCACTGACACTTTAAAGGTTAATTTTGCCCTGACACTTTTTATTTAAAATCTACAACTTGACATATCTCTTGCTGGAAATTACTGGAAGTGCCCACACTCCAATCCACAGGACCCATTAAGACTTTTGTCCCCAAGTCTGTCAAACATGCGTTAGCATAAAAACAGTGTTAACAGGAGACACTTGTATCTGATTGTTGCAAAATAAAAAACATACATATAGTTTCAGTACCCATTTGTCAATGTAGATCAAAATGCAGTCAACAAAAATCTCATGTAAGATGTAACATGATAATGTTTTACATTACTTCCTGTTCATTCATGAATTTCTCAATGGGTGCAAGCCTCACTACAGAGACTTCTCCTCAATCATAAACTTGATGATGTTTACCAATCATCAGTTATGAATGGGAAGCCTTTATACTGAGTGCTTTCCATTCATTTAGTGCTGAGACTGCAGAAAAAGTGTGAGGACTCCGTGTCCTCAATTTCTTTTTCTATTTCAGAAAGGAAATTTCAGGGGTCTGTTAAGACCACTAATATTTCCCCGAAGCCCACCCCAGACAGTAAAAATAAATAAATACATATATATCAATTAAAAAAAATAAAACACAAACCCCTCTCCCCAAACACACACACATAGCATACACATGCACCATATTGTGGCACATGCCTAGCTTGGAGCGAAGCTACTTTACAACACACGGGGACCATGAGGAACAAAAGTAGCCACCCTCCAGAAGGAAGGACAGTGTCAGCATGAATTCATAGATGATTTGAGGATCTACAGCTGAGAGATATACAAATAAGTTACATTTTTGTTAACCCCTTCATGACTGAGGCCTTTTTTTCATTTTTTGCACCAGCGCACGTGCTCGCGGGGGGCGGCGGACTTTTCAATTTTTTTATTATTATTATTAGATTTATTTATTTTGATTTTTTAACTTTACTTTGACTGCTATCAGATAGCAGAGAATATTGGCATAATCTTTAAGAGGGACTTCAAGTAACTTGATGCAAGGACCACTTATTATAACCAGCTGTCAAAACTTTTCCATTCATCTCTTTGAGAGGGCAACACCAGAAATGCTGTGTTCCATGTGCTGGCATGTG